ATAGATGCATTTGCAAACTTTTGGCAAAATTTATGGTATTAACTCGTCCTTGAATCTAATTCTCGTAGATTCTCATTACAGATACTTCTTTGTTTTAAGAACTTTTGAAAGAGCTGCGGGAAGTTTTTTGAGTCGCCCTTTCTGTTCGAACATTAAGAACCGATTAAATTGCGCTGAAAATTTTAAATTGTGCTATGAATTAACAATGGAAGAAGAACCTTCTCTTCGAAACGAACTTAGAAGTAGTTTGAAAATGTTTGAGATAGCGCGAAAATTAAAGAAATAGTGCTGGAAAATCTGAAATACTGCCTGCTATTTGAAGAGAAAGTAATTCAAGTAATGTCCCTCCTTATCTTTCCAGAAGGCGTCTCGTAAAAAAATGCAAAAATATGATATTCAACTAGAGCACAAATTTTTACCTATTTGGGGTGAAAGCAGGACATTTTTAATGCTTTTTCTTCGAAAAATTCAACCTTTTCAAACATACCTTCAGCATTTTTTTAAAGTCATACTCATCTCAGATAATCTGTAGAAGCGGAATCTTTTTTTGCCGGGCCTTGATGCGCATTGATGCGAATTTTTAACATTCTTTCTGGCATCGGTGCGTTGTATTTTACAGTACCAAAACGGTTTTTTTCTCCAGAATAAGACCAAAATTTGGTACTTTCAAACATATAATAAGTAGAACTATTTCTTTTTCGTTCGTATTTTACTAAAGCGTTTTTATTTAGTACCAGAGATTCAAAAAGAATATGGTGTTTGAATACCCGTAAACGTAATCTAGAAAACCAAAAGAAGGTGTTCTAAGATACAGAAACTGGCTCTTATTAGTAACAAATGCAGATACCCTGTTTTTGGTTTTGTAGGATACCTTGTTTTTTAGAGTGTGGCTAGAGTGATAGACTACTAATCTGTCAGACATAGATTCAATCCTTACATCTGACGTTATTACTCTTTTTTTCTGTCTTTTCTGTTGACGGTTTACTGGCTGTCTTTAAACCATTTACTGACAGTTAGCTGCCTAAAAATGTCCTAAAAACCGTCTATTTTACGTAGACCGTTCTAGCGCCGTAAATTGGTAGTTCAAACTGTCTGAAAACTGCCTATTTACAGCCAGTAAACCGTCTTTTAACGGTCAAGTTTCTCATGAAAATTTGATATATGAGAACGCAGTTTACTGGCAGTTTTTAGGCAGTTGAAAAACCACCTATTTACAGTGGTAAAACCATACCATCCGACCCATCAAAAAACCACCTAAAAACTGTCTGAACGGTCTAAAAAAGGCCAGTAAACTGCCTGTCAACTGGCAATTAACCGGGAGTTAACTGGCAGTTAACTTGGCAGTTTTCAATGCCCTGGGAAGAGGAAGCAACTATGAAGCCCTTTATCTATACCAACGAGTAGAGAACGAAAAATGTCGTGTTGAATGATTCGCGAATGACATGTGTTAAGCACTGTGTTATAGAGGGTTCAAGAAATCTCAGCATTCTATTGATTATTGTTGGAGCGGGCGCGGTGATCTTTATCTGTGGGTATTTCATAAAAGGATTTTCATAAATATTCGTTTTAGGAAGGTCCTTGTCGTGTTTTTTTTATCAAAATCCTCCTTTTTTCAGTTTATGACGATGAAAATGACTTTCGTAGAAATAATAAAAAATATTATTTGAATATTTTTAAATGTTTTTAATGGAAGTCCTTTTTTTCCAAAAAGAAGACTGTTATAAATTATTCATGTATTATGCAGAGAGAAGTAGTTGCATTGCGACTACTTTTTGTGCAACTACTTCCATGTACTGAAGCCAGCACTTTCCTACCATGCTCTGATCATAGTGCCATCTTACGGCTGTCAGTACAGATTCTGTACGTTGATTTGATTGGTTGTAATTAACTGTTCAATGTTGTCTGTTGTTTTTGCTCTAGTCTCTTTGCGTCTTTCTGCTAAAAAATATATAATTGTTTCTGACCAACAAAGAACCACTACTCCGCAAGCGATAAAAGATGTAGTGAGAGAGAGACAGTTAGTGAGAGACGAGTGTGTTTTACTCAGTTATTAATTTTTTTTAAATTAATTAATTGTTTTGACTTGCTGCTGCTGCCTTTTTCTTTCTTCGGCTACTTTACGTGTAACATCTGGTGATGAACATTGATTTGGTGGTTTTGTCTTTTGTTTTTCGGTTGCCGCTGTACCATTATCTTGTTGTTCCTCATCTTTTTCTGCCTTTGATCTTCTACCATCTAATGGACCTTTTGTTCCACGAGCAGCTGTTGGTGTAGTTGATGTATAACTAAAATGAAAGATTAAAAAAACAGTGTCATAATAATTATTTAAAAACGAAGTACTGGAGCTGTAAGTACTTCGTACGCTTGCTACTAACGATTCATGTTTCTTTTTGGGATACAGTTTGACACTACCACTTTTAACGTCTAACAGAAAGACACGTCCAGCTTCTCTAAAAATAGAAGAATGAAAGAAATAACGTTTGAATGTCTTCAATAAATGATCTCTAACTTCTCAGACTTACTTTGCACGTTCCAAATTTGAAATAAAATTTTTGTTTCGTACAATACTGACTCTTTCAGCCAACCAATCACAAATTAATTCGACACGTGCTTGACTAATGTCGTAGTTTCTGTTCTAATCAAATTGATGACAATAGTCGTCAGATTATTTTGTTCGAAGAATAACGTCACAATTAAATTCATTCAATCATGAAACCTTTCAGAAAAAGTAATAGCACGTCTGTACGATTCCTGGCCATCCCTGTCATCAGGTGTTGAACGATTAAAACGGTTTGGAATCCTCAATCGAAAAAAAATGTTCGAAAGTGACTAATTCTAAAAACACAACATAACACATAGTAAAAAGAATGGGGTAGAAAAAAATAAGGATGGGATTAGGAATAGACTTATCGTCGGTCACGGTTGGGTAGCAACCTCTACTATTAAATT